CAAGAAGGAAGTGATTTCTCACCAATCCCCCATCTCTAGTTTTCTTCTCCATTCTTCCATGTATCTTCTTTCCCCTTTATGGGGTAGTTACTCAAGGTACTAGGGCTTTAATTCCAAAGTCCTAGCTTTAGGTTTTACTATGTACAAGGAATTTTGTTAAGGTTTGTGAATGAAATGAGTTTAGCTAGATTTTATATGCATTTATCTATATTGTTTATGGTTTGAACTTGTCTCTCCATATGATTTTCATGATTGCCTATGTAGGATTTGCATGAGATGGTTGTGGATTTGAGTGGTTTGGCATGTTAGTGTAGATGAAAGATCTAGGGGTTGGATTGGCCGTCCAGGTGACCATCCCCTGCCAGTTGGGATACCCACATAGGTAATGCTAGGACGATACGCGGGTGACCATCTACATATTGAATAGTGTGCAGATAGGTGCAACCTATTGAAAGGGAATATACCATATCCTTAGTTCGTGAGCCTGATCGAGGTGACATTGGGTCAGCGAATCAGATTGGGAGGGGGCTAGTTTCATGACCATTGAGCTAGTCCCCACATTAGTGCGTCCCAGACTTTGTTTCCCACAAACCAATAGAGTTATCCTTTTGCATGATAGGCCTAGTATCTAGGGTGAGGTGATGCCCTAGTACCTGCTTTTTATCTATGCTTTTATCGAGTAAATAACGATCAAATGAGAAGTAGTCTAGGATATCGAGACCCTTAGAATACTACATTGGTCAACCGTTATACTGGCAATGACATCTTGAGTTATACTTGGCTCAAAATAGGTTGGTTAGTTCGAGTCGTGCAACCAATTAAATAACCCGCATGGGGGTGCTACCAAGTTTTGCTTGCGTTGAAGTGGATGCTCTAAGGAGTAAGTGAAGTTCATTTGGTAGGTCGGAAGCAGATTTGGTGCAAAATTCATATTTGCTAAACCTACAAAATTTTCTCGTTGTTTTTTTTGTTTGTTAAAGATTAGTGACCTGAACTAATAATGGGACAAAGAGGGATGACCTAACAATTTAGGTGTCTTTTTATCATTTTTCTGTACGAGAATGTTAGAGGAGCGACTTGAGAATTTTGATCATTCAAAGTGTATTTTTCAATCCCCTTTGTTAATTGGACCATATTTCATTCACTTACACTTGATTATTAAAGTAATTTACATAAAAAGAACGCCTTAGTATCTATCTATCTATACATAATATTATGGCAATTCAAAAGTAATTGTTTGCCACCTAAGCACTTGGAGAGTTCACAAATTGCCAAGGTGGATAATATTTTTACAAAAAGAAAAATAGTTATTGATATATTTATGGAGCTATCTCTCTCTTCATTTAATATTTCATTTCTCTTTTTATCTTTTTTTTTTTGTATTATATCAATGTACACAATAATAAATAATGTATGAAAAGTGACATACATTACATTTGTTATCTCTAACTTTTTTAATATTTAATTTTCTTTTCCAATACTTCCTTTATGTTTTTGTTTTTACTTTTGCATTGTATTGATGTACGCAATATAGACTATTGTCTTTGAGTCACACATATAACTTTTTTCTCAACCAAACAAATATCTTATTAAAGCTCACTAAGTAAACTTTTAACTCACTTTTAAAATAATTTACAAATATGTTACATTTTAATGAACAATTTATACAAACACACATACATAATAACATTTTATCGCGACAAAATAAAGATGGAAATTAAAGAGGGAAAACAAGAAACGTTTGAATAGAAACTTGACCAAGCAATAAAATCTATTTCTTAAACAAAAACCTTATTTGTTCTAATTAAGTGAAGACATATGAATCATAGGTGCAATAATTTACAATATATCCTAGGTTCAAATTAGTAATATTTTGCATTTTTGCTCTAGATCGTGTTAATTGAGCAAACTCTAATGAAGTTTTACGTCATATGCTAAGAAATTTAATTTTCAAACTTGGAGTAATAAATTTTCAAGGATTATAAATCAAAATTTTCAAAATGGCTTCGGTATGATCGTTTATGAACTTGACTTCATATCTTAAGATGAGACACGAGATACATTAAAAAATGATACATGTGAAAGTTAGCTGGATCTTTGCTAAACTGTATGTTAAACATCATGTGTTCATTAACCACTGACCTATGCATTAATCAAATAAAGTTTTAAAATCTATCTATCTATCTATGGCAATTCAACAATAGTTTGTTGCCACATAAGCACTTGAAGAATTTACAAATTATCATGGTTGACACTTTTTTTACAAACACAAAAGTAAGTTAATGCTCAATTTATGTAGCTATCTCTATCTTCATTTAATGTTTCCTTTTGTTTTATTTAATAATTCATTTGTACATTTTGTAGTATATATGTGTAGCAGCAGTATACTAATGTTTGGAGGCTGACATGTATCGCGATTGTTTAAACAAAAATATTTGAATAAATCTTATAAAGTAAATTTTCAGTTAACGTCATATGCTAAGTAGGTGTTAGGCCATTACCTTTTGATTTTTCGTTAGGAGAAGAAATTTTGAGTGAAGGAAAGCAAACCAAATAACGGGTGTTAAATGCAATAGAGAGTGGAGATACCCGGGTAGACGAAACTAACTATGTCAACAATTTGGTGGCGCATGTGAGAAATGGTGCAGGAGGACAATTTAAAATTCAGCTGGCGATGTTATTATATGGGCCATGAATTGGTGGACAAAGGTGAGGATTGGACAGAGCAGATCTGGTATAGAACTTCAGTAGCGGTCGTGACAAAATGTGAGAGGAGACAACATAGCAATTGATACATATAGAGTAAATAACATTTAAATAGCTAAACCTTTCAGTTTTTTTAAATTATTAGCCAAACCTTTCAAACTACAAATGATTACCCAAATATTTTGTATCACATCAAAATATTAACCATTTTTTTTGTTATCATTAATAATTTTGTAACTCTTTTTTAATTAAAATACTAAATTGGATTATAGACCGTCACGTGTCTCTTCCAACTCATCATCATATTGTTGAGTCAACGTTACTAACAAAAATGCTAACGGGGAGTTAACGTTTGGCTAATACTTTGTATTTTGAATTTTTTTTGAAAGATTTGGTTAATAAAATGTATTTACTCTGTTATATAATATACTAAATTTAGGTCTCTTGATAGACATTTGTTAACATAAGATCGTTAGGAGACTTCGTGAACATTCACATGAAAATGAGGCAAGATTAGAGAAGTTGATCATCGGTATGATCTTTCTTAGCAAACACATGCATTTTTTTTTGCAATAAAACACATGCATAACTAATAATATATTTACGGAATAAAATAATTTGATAAAAATTCAATGGAGCAAGAATAGATCATCTCATTGGATAAATGAAGATGATAAGTAAGAATAACTTTTCTCTCACTTATAATGTGTACTTCCATCCCTTATTTTCTTTTACCATTGTTCATATTTTCCCTTATTTTCTTAACATTTTACAAATCCCTGTAAAAAACAAGTATTAATTACACTTAAAAATAATTAAACTCTTTTTAATATATATGCTATATATTGACAATAAATGTGGCCATACAGAAAAATGCATATATTAGTATAAGTAATGAAATTTTATTTCTAAACAAATACCAAACATAAACGAATTTTAGAAAACGAAGGTTCTACAAGTTGTAAAATTATACACTAACGCACCATATTAAGATCAAATTCCGTATGTGAGTATCTTGGATTGAGATTCTAAAATAATATATAAACAACGACAATGAGTCTCAGTTAGTCCAAATTAAATTTCAGAAATTAGCAATTGATACATATTGTATAAGAAACTAAATACAAATAAGATCTTACAGTAAACTTCATGAACATCCAAAGTGTCAACTTTTAATTGGGATGAAGAAATTTATCCAATAATGAAGTATATGTACAAAGAAACTCTAACTAAGATGTCCTCATCTGAACAACGTGGATTTATATAAGATAGAAAAAATTGTACATGGGACGTGGTATACCTTTGTGACATGGTTTATGATTAGAGAAGTCAAACATTATAAGTGAATGTGCCAAGTATTGAGAATTTTCAATATATAGACACACCACATACTCACTTATCAATACAAAATATAATAAATTTAGAAGGTCTAAAATAGTTTAAACATATAGATAAATTGAATTAATGTCAACGATAAAATGAAACTCTCCGGCCAACGGGCCGGGTAAAAAGCTAGTTATGTATATAATGTTGTTCATGTTGCTATATTTTGAGTGAAAAATTTTCAAAATACATATTTATTGTCATCTTATAACTATCATACCATCATCTTTTCATTGTGGTAATACTTCATACTATCGTCTTACAACTACTATATAATTGATCTCACTACTATGATATGATTAATATAATATTATCATCTTACATTACCATCACCTAATTACCACTATTAAAAATTAACCCCTCAAGATTAGGAATAAGTGTTAAATGAAATAGAACAAGAACAAAACAAAAAGTGCTTATAACAACGATGAACGAACGGCTTCAAGACTGCCAGCTCAGCATTAATTACAAACAAAGCCTGAAAATCTGATCCACATACCTCGAAGCTCAACCCTTCACTTTCCTCAAAATTACATATCAGCCCACTCAGATTTCGACCCACCAGCCACCAGGCCACGGTTAGTGAAGAGAAAACCCTCAGGGGCAAAATCGACAAAGTGCCTCCTCCCATCTCCCCCTTCTCTCTCCTCACCCACCACCACCACGTCCGCTTAAGGCCAGATTAGGGCGGAATCTCCGCTGCTCAAAATTCTCCCATCGGAGCGTTTCCAACGATTTCAAAAAAAAAATTCGACAAAATCTTCGGATCTTTGTATAAAGAATCGGAGCCATCTTCGCATTTCCTTCACTGCCTTCGCACTGTGATGCTTCTTCTACCTCTGTAGGTTCCTTCTCCCCAAAATTCCCAGTCCGTAGTTCTGATTCTTCATTGGGTCTGAGAGATAGCGAAGATGAAAGCCTCCCTCAAATTCCGCGACGAGCAGAAGCCGCTGTTCCGAGCCAAGGTCCCGCTGAGCATTCTGGGCTTGCCTTTCCAGTCCGGAATCGTCGCCGGGGAGGCCAAGGAGCTCTCCCTCAACCTCTCGACGTTCTTCGATTCCGGCCCGTCCTTCAAGGTCGCCTACCGCCCCAACGATTCGTGGAATCCGTTCTCCCTCGTGCTCAAGACGGGGTCCGGGTCGTTCGGCTCGCCGACGTCGAGCCCGATGGTGATGAGCGCGGAGTTCAATTTGGTCGGGAAGGGGAACCCTAGCTTCATGCTTCATTTCAAGCCCAGGTTTGGGGATTTCTCGATCAAGAAGTCGCAGGCGTCGTCGGGCTTGGAGAAGAGTATGAAGTCGTGGCAGAACGGCGTCGCTGTGAGCTCTTCGTCGGACGAGGATGGGTCGCTGGAGGTTGTGGAGAAGCCCGTGTTGAACGGGATTGGAGCCGGCGGAGGGATCGACATCGGCGGGGTAGGGTTCAACGCCAAGAGGTTTTCCGCCCTGCCTCCGCCGACGTCGAACGCGCTCGCGGCGGCTCTATCTGGAGTGGAAGTCACGGCCAACACGAGTCTCCCCGTGAGGAGTCACGCCGTGATGAGTTTCAGGTGGGGGCTTAGGGTTCCGGCGGACAACAAATTAGGGGGTAGAGTAGCTGGAGACCTCGATTCGATGGCTGCCGCGATCAATTTCAAGAGGATCCCTTTCCTGGTGATGAACAAGATCGGGATCGAACACGTCGCCCAATCTGCTTCGAAATCCGAACCGGCGGCGAACAGCGAACCTAAGCCGGACGTGGCGGAAACTTGCTTGGCGGTGAAGCGGCAGTTGGACATTCTGCAGATGGAGAATACGTCCCTGAAGAAGGCCATGGATGATCTGAGGCGCGAGATTGGCGCCAGCAAATTCCTTGTGCCATCATCACCAACCCATGATTCTAGCTTCAGCAGCAGCAGCAGCAGCAGGTACAGAGAGCCGGAGAGAATGGGAGCTAGGAACTCCGGCGGGAACCGAAATGAGAAGAGGAGTTCCTCGGTGGAAGGCGATGTGAGCGAGGAGCTGAAGAAAGCTCTGAAAGGAGCTGCTGCAGCAGGAGGCGGTGGTGCTTGAATTCTCCATTATGGGTCTGGTTTAAATTAGAAGAAGTGTTTTTGCTGAGTTATGTTGATTCTGCATGTCTTGCTTAGCGTTAATGGCTGGTTTTGGAGGTAGTCGTAATGGTAAGAACTTGATGATTGTATATTGCTATGCTTAATAACAGATGAATTGAGAAGCAGGGTTTTTTTTTGCTTGGAAGGGATATGAACCAAACCTCGAAATACCATGGAGTCAACAGAAACCCTAAGAACACAAACAACAGTGAGCAGGAAACAGAATTCAGCCACCAATGAATATGACAACTTTCTGGCGTGAGAAAGGTTGAACATTTCCAACACTTCATCTACACCTCCTTTCCTCCCCTTTCATCTGTTTGCATTCTGCTCTTCCTACTGGAACCAACTTTGGTTAGGGTATTGCAGTTGGTTCTGGCAATTGCAATTAGGGTAGTGATTAAGTACAAGGTTGCTTAAGTGTCTATTATGCCTCGGTGCCAGTGTCGCCTTACTTAGTCGACGTGTTCGCAATATCTAATTCGTCGTGAAACTCCTAGGTTATGTGTTTTGATATTGTCTAATGCCTATGCATGATTAAATACAAGGTTGTATGTTCTTTTTGAACCATGATTTCTACAGAGATATCTACTCTTTCTTGATGAAAGGGTAGCAAATGTACTTCACCTTTTTTTTGGTACGTCTGAACAATGAAGGTGACATCTTAATTACAGCAGCTGCAAGTCTGATGCAAACGTCAAGGTCTGGAATAGATCATTCCCGCTTGATCTTCGCAAAATCAGCGCTTTCTTCCATTATTTGAAGAAGAAGAAGAAGAAGATCATGGGCCTTAGACGTTCACCACCCGCACAAATCTGAAGTTGGTTAAGCCAACCATTAGTTTTGCGGCCTGTTGTTAGCCAATTGGGTCCATAAAGAAGTAGGTGAGCCCAAATCTTATTGGGCTTCCAATCCAGGAAAATATTAATTGTCATAAATAACGTCATCTGTCATCACCGCCACCCTGCACGTGAAAGACAGATAACCCACTTCCCCGCTCTGACTATTTTATATTATTATTTTTTCACTAGTGGGTGGCGAAGGAATCTTTTCCCAAACGAAGGCACCAACACAAAAAATTAACCGCTCCCACCCAATCCCAAATCAAAGCTGAAAAGCCCTAATTAGTCTGTGACCTAAAATTCAATTCCCCCAAATAATTGTGAAATCGAAGCTTTGATTGATGAATCTCCCCAATCCCATCTTAAAAGTAAAATCATTTCAAATTATTACCAACCAATAAATACAAAAAATATAAATAATACTATTATTATTATCTTCTCACTCCTGCGGAATCAATTTTTCCTTCTCTCGTTCGTTTTCCTACCCTATCTCTCCGTCTTCCCTTTGCTTCGCTTCGCTTCACCCCCTTCTTTCCTTTCCTTCCACAGGCTATATAATAAACCGTCTCGCCGCCGGTCTGCCCTTCTACCCATTAAGGGCTAGCTGTTTCTTCCGCTGCTGCTTCTGCTCTTCAGTTCATCTCTTTATCTTTCTTTGGGGTTTTAGTTGGGTTCTGGATTGGTTCTTCGGCTGCAGTTGGGACTGTTTGGTCGCGTTTTTTTTTTTGTTGCTTCTGGATCTGAATCTCTTGGGAGCCAGGCTGTAAATGGATACGAGGAAGAGAAGGCCTGACGGGGCAGCTAACAGCTTCAATGGCGGATTCAAGAAATCTAGACAAGGTAAGTTTCTTTCATGCTATGCTTTTTCTACTACATATAAGCCCTTCTTTGGCCGGTAGGTGAAGTAATTGACCGGGATTTGTGGGGGGGTGATTTTGGCTGCTGGGTTTCGTTTTCCATCCCTTCATTGAGCTCCTGTTGACTTTGTAGCTTAAAGTGGTTCCTTTTTCTTCTGGGTTGCTCGTTACTTGGGAAGTTTTGCTCTTAGAACTTACTGTCCACCATGGGAGTAATTTGCTTCTCTGTTTGTCAATTTTGTTTGTTGGTGAGGAAGGACGTAAAATCTTAAGACTAGCTGTAGCGGGTGAAGAGGAAGTTTCTTGGTATAGGCAAAACCGCGAATCTGTCTGGGGAACTGAGTGTTTTCCCAGTTCTTGAGATTTCTCGGGTTTCTTTAAGCTCTCGACTTGCTGGCTATCTTGCCGATGGAATGTGGGGTATCTACCCTTTATCAGTGTATCTTTTGTAGTAAGGTAGCTCTGTTCAAAGTTCAGTGTGCATTGGTGATTATGAAAGTCACTCAAACATGGTGGTGCTGGAAGTCACTCAATCGTCTAGTTTCTTGGAGATTTTGCTTTGGGGTACTTGTGTAGTAATTCATGAAATCTTACCTATTACTTACAGTTAACGCTATTATTACTAAAAATTTGATGAGATTATCGCAGAGATTTAAAAATCTTCAAAACATTCAACTGAAGAAAGGCAATTAATGTTTGTTAACAGAAACGGACTCGTTATCAACTGGTGTAGGAAGCAAATCGAAGCCATGCACCAAGTTTTTCAGGTTCTAATCTTTTCTCACCTAAATAATCATCTCGGATTGCAGTACTGATGTGAAGCATTATAAAGTTATTGGGGGAATTGAATTCACCACTCATAACGTTTCTGCTTCTCTAATGAAATTGGTATCATACACTTACAGGTACAAATATGTAACTCTGCCCCTCATCCAATCAAGTTAACCAATTCATTTAGCAGAGAGACATTGGATAACAACTGTATCTCAGTAATAGTTGATTGCCTCCAATAGTTGTGGCCCAAAGGGTGGCTCCAATGTTACTCAATAATTTGAGGGAGTTGATTTTTATTGTAACAACTACTTAAATACACTACTGAGTATTGATTACCACTATGTAATGGTAAGCTAAAGTAGAACTTTTCGAGGTCAGATATATTGCATTGCCTGCAGCAGCAGTCATTTCTATTGAGGTAAAATAGATGGTAGTTCATTCCAAATCTCAATGGATGAGGTTGATGTCTAAAAGCTGAGTGAACTTGCTATCCAGGTTGATTTTGCCCATGTACATACTAGTTCCTTGTTTTGGAATCTTAGTGAATTTAGGTTTTCTTGTCACTTGGTGTGTCGGTGCATTTGTGGCTTGTTGGTTTCTGAACATCAATCAATAGTGTTTTCTTCTTTTTGTTCTCAAGCATCTGATCAATGAATTTTTTACATCACTACTGGATGGCATGTATTCCCTCTTAGTTCAGGATATGCGTGGCACCAGCTTAGTGTTCTGGACTCTTCTTTGGGGGTCATAAGACATAAACCATCATTTTAGAATGCTTATTTCATGATGATTGCAATCTGAGCCGACTTATTTTCTGTAATGCAGCACTGCTGGCTGTCCATTCGGCGAGGGTTGCCACTTCCTGCACTATGTATCTGGTGGGTACAATGCAGTGTCCCAACTCATGAACAAGTCATCCAGCACACCCATGCCAAAGAACAACATGCCTCCGCCTCAACCAGGCTCCAACGGCTCTAATAATGCACACTCAGTGAAAAACCGCTTGTGCAACAAATACAACACCGCTGAAGGATGCAAGTATGGTGACAAGTGCCATTTTGCACATGGTGAGTGGGAGCTCGGGAGGCCATTTGCTCCATCTCTCGACGATCATCACCATCGTATGCTGGGCCCACCTCCTCCAGGTCCCCGCATGATGAACCGGATTGAGCCGCCTCCACCCGGCCCTCTAGTCGGCTTTGGCGATACAGCTACTGCAAAGATCAGTGTCGATGCGTCTCTGGCAGGGGCCATAATTGGAAAAGGCGGTGTGAACTCGAAGCAGATATGCAGGCAGACAGGGGCCAAGCTATCGATCAGGGAGCATGAGACGGATGCTAATCTAAGGAACATCGAGTTGGAGGGTACGTTTGACCAGATTGGTCAAGCTAGTGCCATGGTCAAAGAGCTAATCGCAAATATAGGTCCAGCTGGTGGCCACGGCCATGGCAAGCCGTCGTCGGGTGGATTCTCGGGGGAGAAGCATCATCCTGGAAGCAACTACAAGACGAAGATATGCGACAATTTCAACAAAGGAGCTTGTAGCTTCGGTCAGAGGTGTCATTTTGCTCATGGAGCTGCTGAACTGCGCAAGTCAGGGGTATGATTTTAGGTGTGTTTTAAGTCTTTTACGTAGCTTGGTAGATTGGATGAACGGGCAGTGTGCGCGCGCGCAATCTTTGTACTAGTGAGGAGGGTTTGGATTATGTTTTTGACTGTTCTGATGCCACTTAGCTGAGAAAAGACAGAGGTTTAATGATGATACGAACAGATTGGAGCTTCGTTCGCTGTTTCATTCTTTTGAGTTTACTAAGGCCCTGTTTACTTTCATTTCTGTTTCCTGTTTTTGAGAAAACAGATGTTGAAAACATGTGAAAACGACATTTTTTCGTTTTCGAGAACAGTAGGAAGCTGCCACTTTCTGTTTTCAGAGTTGGAAACAAAGAGAAAACAGAATGAAAAGTAAACATATTTTCTCGTTTCGTTTGTCAAATTTATGACATGAAAACAGAAAACAGAAAACGAAAATGAAAGTGAACAGGGCCTAAGAAGCTGGCTGCTCTTCATTTCTGGACCTTTCATCTTCGCTGTTTCATTGTTTTGTGTTTTGAGATGGAAAAGGCTCTTACCCTAACTAGCCCTACCATTCCTGATACTAAAACATAATCGTTAGTTTCAGGCCATGTTGTAACTGTTATTGAATCTATCATGGAAAGAGACGACTGTCTTAAGAAAAACCAAATTCTCACTCACTGAACTGAACGATAAATCACTAAATTTTCGGTTCAGCGTCCAGCCGGTTATGAAAATGTAGTCTGGTACTATCTAACGTGGATCAGCAAATATTTGGGATTGAACTGTCAATAGTGAAAATCTGGGAGCTAAACTGAACTTTGGCCAAGGAATCCTATTTCTTCTCGAGTCATGTGAACCCTTTCTATCTTTTCTTGTCTTCATTTCCTTATTAGGGTTAGGGTTTTTAGCTTCTCCTGCCACTCCCCTTGCTTATCTCTCGTGCTATCCTCAGACCAAGCGCCAAGTTACTTCCTTTTCCCCCCTTTCTGGGTTATTGGAGCATTGGGAATTTCGTTGTTCGTGAATTTGTCTCACTGTCGCTCGTTGAGCTTTCCCTTCTGTTTCTGGATCTGCATCTGTTGCGGGCCGTCAATGGAAGCCAGGAAGAGAGGGAGGCCTGAAGCCAGCGGCAACTCTAATGGTGGATTCAAGAAATCTAGACAAGGTCAGTCTCTCTTTCACTTCGGTGCTTTTCCTCTTTGTTAGTTGAGATTGCGAAAGCACCGGTTAGTTTCGACCTTATTTTGGGCGTCCGGTGAATTGTAATTGCAGCAGAGAGTTATGCCAAGTTATTTTTCAGTTCGTTTCTGCCCTTTTTTTTTCGTGCGAGGAACTGGAAGTCTGCTTTGATAGAATTTGTAGTTGCAGTAGTATGTCTGTTTTCAGCTTAGGAAGTACTCTGCTTGTTTTGATTCATTGGTTTCTACTAAGAAACGGTAGAGAAACAGATTTGTCTTGGAGCTTCCTGTTTCATGAAGAATTCAATTCTTCAATTTAAGTTCCTCGACTGATGGATTGTAGAATTCGTGTTAGCAATAGGATCATATAGTCACTCTCAGTCGAATCATCGTGTATTTATGTTAGTGGTATAGTGCTTGGAATGTTGATTTCTTTATCAACGAATGAAGTTGTTAGTACTAGAACTCTGCTAAGTTGAACTATAATATCGTCTAGTTGAGATTTAAAAATCTTCCAGAACATCAACTGAGAAAACCCAATTAATGTTTGTTATCAGAAATGGACTCGTTATCAACCGGTGTAGGAAGCAAATCGAAGCCATGCACCAAATTTTTCAGGTTCTAATCTTTTCTCACCTAAATAATCGTCTCGGATTGCACATTGTTGTATCACCAGTTAGTACAAACTTCAAATTTACTGCACTTATGACTCAAGGTTTCTGCTTCTCTAATGAAATGGGTATTATACACTTACAGGTACAAGTTTGTAACTCTGACCGCATCAAATCAAGTTAATTAATTGAATTAGTTGGCACTGTTTACTTGGATAATTATATCCCAACAATATATTTGATCACTAAGGAAGCTGTTCATGCTTGATTCAAACTGAAATTGTTGCCGCAAAGGATGTCATGCAGATGGGTTTAATAGTAAATTCTTCAAGTTTAAGTGCATAAATGATATTATTGAATGCAAACTACTGGTAAGCTAAATATTAAGCAATTTCTCAGGTAAGACGAATCGCATTTTGGTTATAAATTACAAAGTGTCTTTGCAGAAACTGTGGTTTTGCTGGTTTAACAGTAATGCGTATGTTTCTGTAATCTTAAGAAAACTGAATGTTTGTCGCACTCTTCTATCAAGTAAGCATTTATCAAGGAACTAGTCAAGTATTATTGTTTGGAACTAGTCAAGTAAGCATTTCAATTTTTAAAAGTCTAAACCTTGCACCCTGATTGATTTCTGACCCCCAAGACTTGTATGCTACACTTCTGACCTCTGTGCTTCTGTGTTTTGCTGATTCCGCCACTTGTATACTTCTGTTGCAGTACTAACGGGTGTCCATTTGGTGAGAGCTGCCACTTCTTGCACTATGTACCTGGTGGTTACAATGCGGTCTCCCAAATAATGAATCGGTCCTCCGCCCCTCCCATGCCGAGGAATATCCCTACCCCACCACCTATGTCCTATGGCAACACACCACCTGGTCCTCCCTATGGTTCTTCTTCCTCCTCCCCTTCAATCAAAAACCGCATGTGTAACAAATACAGCAGTGCAGAAGGATGTAAATATGGCGACAAATGCCATTTCGCACATGGTGAGTGGGAGCTTGGAAGGCCAGTTCCTCCATCTCATGACGATCCTCGGATGATGGGTGGGCCTATGCCTCCGATGCAGGGGCGTATGGGAGGGATGCGAATGGACCCACCACACCAACCTGGCCCGGTCCCCGGGTTTGGCGATACAGCAACTACCAAAATCAGTGTGGATTCTTCCCTCGCGGGAGCCATTATTGGGAAAGGTGGCGTGAATTCCAAGCAGATATGTCGACAAACGGGCGTGAAGCTTTCGATCAGGGACCACGAGACGGACCCCAACTTGAGGAACATTGAGCTCGATGGGACCCTCGAGCAGGTCGGCAGAGCTAGCGCAATGGTGAGAGAGCTAATCGGGAACGTTGGTCATGGAGGTGGTGGGCATGGGAGAGGAGGCCCAGGAGCTTCTGGAGAGAAGCAGCATCCCGGTAGCAATTACAAGACCAAGATATGTGATAATTTTAACAAAGGGACTTGCAGTTTTGGTCAGAGATGCCACTTTGCTCATGGTGCTGCCGAGTTGCGGAACTCGGGTGCAGGAGGAGTGTGAAAATGTAAGTGTTTGTTGTTCCGGATCTCGTTAGGATATGGCTAGTTTAGCTTGGCTGGTTGAGTTTGTGTGAAAGAGATAGACATGGGTGTATTGGGGGAGCTCTGTTTTTTACTGTGTTAGGGGGATAGATATATGTTAGTGGAAGAGACGTGGTTGTTCATACCAGCATTCTTTTTAACGTTTTTGTCTTCCCATATTTAAGCTAGTGCATCGCATCGTTAGTAAACTTCTTCATTTGATTGCTGGACGAACTTGTTTCTCATTTTGGTGGCCTGGAAACTTGCTTGCAAAGTACTATTAAGTGGTCTGATTGTAGGGATGAGAATCAGGTGCGCATATCTCCGGTTTGGCAGTAGAACTTTAGAGCTTCTTGTTTTTGCGTGCAATACCAGAATTGTGGGTCTTTTTTTTTTTTTTTTGGTTGTTGTTGCTATTCCTACTTGCGACTTGCAAGCCTTTCGGGTCTAACTAAAGCATTGTTGCTAGTGGTTCCTGACACTCCCATGAACTTGATAAGCGACAGTGATGAGTCCTTAGGTGAGCCAATATCGATGAAAGTATGAGGTTCTAAATTTGGATGATGATACTAAATTCTATGTATTTAAAGAGTTTTGTTGCCCATCTTTTACAAAGTGGGATCCTGACGCCCTTCTCAAGGGCTCCCTCCGCCGCCACCGACCCTAACAGTAATCCTAATAGTCGAATACAACCCTAACGATAACTCTTATCCCCTAACCACTAAACCTTCCATGTAATCTCTAATAATAATATTAATAATAATCAATAATTCTTCCACAAAATTATTAAGAGAAAGTAGGGTACACAATCCAGAACTGTGAAACCTAAAAAAATCTCGTGTCTTGCCATCCAGGTTATAGCCACGCGAATTTGGCTTTTAGACTAAACCGCGTTAGGTTAGACTTGCGAATCGAGGAGCAAGGGATTTCGAGTTACGATCGGTTTGTAACTATATATATATAAGATACGACAACAGCATAAACCTAAAAATAAAAACTTCCCTCCAAGCTAGAAAAGGGTAAAAGAAAATCTGTTTCAGTTTACTTTTCAGGGACAACAATGGCGGCGATGCACGGGAGCGCTAGGTGTGCAGTGTGCCAGTGGAGGAAGGCGGACGAGTGTCCGGCGGACTGCCATTTCCGGCCCCACTTCCCCGCGGGCTCGCAGGCTTTTGAGAAGATCAAACGAGTCTACGGCGGCAATTTCGTGGAAATCACGTATGGCGCTCTGCCCTTCCCTGAGCAGCAGGCAAGGCTTGCCTTCCGGGCATTGGAATTCGAGGCCGATGCTAGGATCGAGAACCCTGTGATGGGTTCCTTGGGAACCGTGACCGTGCTCCAGGAGCAAGTCAGGCGCCTTCAGGAGCAGCTGGCGTCCGTTGAGCAGAAGCTGGCGTTGTTTCAGCAGCGGCTGCATCCCAATAACAATCATTAAGGAGAGGGAAGAGGAATAACTCGAGTAGTCTGTCTCTTTAGTTCAACTGTGGAGCTTAATTCTCCCTTGATTATGTAGCATATGCAGTTAGCCATGTTGCAAAGATTGATGATTTTATATGGTGGAATTTAATATGATGTTGGGTTAAGATTAATACTGTGCCTTTGCCTCCTCCTTCCTCCACATTGGTTGTTGCTTCCTCCACTTCTTTAGGCGAACTCCAATATTTCGATGCATAATGTTTGTATTTCGAGCAATTATAGCACTGGACGTTGGATTTATCTTGCCCTTCATTTGACCTCCACCTTCAGAGGTTCTGTCAAATTACTCGGGTGGAAAATTTCACATCAAGCCCGTGAAGTTTTTGGAATGCATGAACAGAGCTCCAAAAAGCACAGTTTGTGTAGTGTGGCCATGCACATGGTCATGAGCTAAAACCATGGCATGGCACAAGAAGCAAACAAGCTGCGTTCCAAGACTTCAACTCCATCAAGAGAAAGGCACCTAGGGGTTGAAGGAGCAACCACCACGGTGGAGTAGAGGGGAGCGGTCTTTTGTTGTAGTTGTCAAACATACGGTTCTTCAAGGCGGTTACCTCTCAGTGCCTATGAATAAGATAGATGGTCGATAGAGACGGAGGTTCCCAAGACCGCACAACTTACGTCTACGTCAAGTTTTATTATTTCTCTGCAAATGTAGTCATAGTCATAGTTTGGAGCTCTTGCTAAATTATTATAGGAGCAGGAGTAACTTAATTTAGTTTTCGTTTCCAAAAATTATAAATCAAACACTCTTATTCGAACTTTGTTTGAAGAGATATGAGTCATGTCTTAATAATTGTTGTTCATTAATTCAATTTAACGCGAGTTTTGTCTCTAGAAAACAATATTACTCAAAACAAGTTGGGCATCACAACGGACTATGGAAATTAAATAACAACACGACTCTCCATTTCACTTGAGTTAACTAGCTCCCTTACTTCAAGGACTTGATAAAATGCCACCAAACTTCTTCTGTTGTACACTTCAATCCTTGAGCTTTGATTCATTTGTGCCTACAGGCTGCTCCAGGTACGCTTGATTTCACACTGATTTTTCAATCCATAACTTCTCAGTAGGGATGGCAATTTCGACCTGACCCGTTTTACCCGACCTGTTTGACCTGTTTTGGGGCGGGTCCGACCCGGCCCGTAGGCGGGGCGGGGCGGGCATGGGTAGTCTCATCGACCCGACCTGCCCTAACCCGCCCCATTCTCGACCCGTTCTTGTCTAAATTACATGAAATCTTAGTCAAATTACTATGAATGTTACTTTAATCGCATAATATTTTAGCTATAATAAAGTTTTAAATTAGTGAAAACCTCAATTTCTCCAATAATTTAACTATAATTATCATAATATTGTTTATTTTCTTAGTTTTATAATAAAAATAACGAATATTTCTAATGTTTTTCAAATAAATTGCATACCCATTGGATCGACCTGCCCCGACCCGTGACCCGTGGTCAATTACCCAACCTGGACCCGCCCTGCCACGGGGCGGGTCTGGGTACCAAGAAACCCATCCCGGACCTGCCCCATTGCCATTCCTACTTCTCAGTTAATACAAGGGTTAATACCTTATTATGGCCTGAACTATGACCATGTAATCAACTTTGGCCAGTGGTTTGAGAAATTAACATCCTGGCCCGAACTATGCAGCATACAGACAAAATTGGCCTGGAGCGTGGTTTGACCGTTTGTTTGGACGGTCAACACCGTTGACCGTTAGTCAACTGTCCAGGTCACTGCCATGTCAGCACAAAAAATTATAATTTCATTTTTCTTTTAATTTTCTTAACAAAATGGAATAATAAAGAAAAAAATAAAACAATAACTTTTGACCACCCATCCCCACCTTATCCCCCATTTTCGATCAAACCCTAAAAAACCCTATCTTCCATCTTCTTCCCCAATAACCCGCCGCCGCACTTATGACACCGGTTGATGACGAGTATCTGCCGGCAGAAAGGGCAGGATGAATGGCTGCCGAGCCAGGTGTCGATCCAGTTGGAAGCCGTGGCCGCACTGCGGGAGCACCCGGAACTCGTCCCCGGCCGTGAATTCCACGAAGCAGATGGCGCAATCGGTGAATTTTGCCGCGGCGTCGTCGGCGGGAGAGAAGGTCTAATTGGGGAGGGCGCGACGGATCTTCTTCTTCACCCCCTTGGAAACCAATCCATTCCATATATTTCCTTGGCGACTTGGAGTACAAATCTGGAAACAGAAATAAAAACTCTGTTATCTTCCCTTTAAGCCTTTCCCTTTCACATTTGATCAATCAAGACCCAAGTTATCAACCACATCCATAAATCAATTCGGAAACACATTTGATCGAGCGAGGGTTCTCCCTGCACTTTACTCTCTGGTTTTTATTAATCCACACAATTCCTCCGGCACCACCACTTCAGTGCCACAATGACGGCAACAGGGGTCAATGGCCGCCGGCGGAGCCCTGCCTCCCCTCGCCGCGGGCGACGAGGCCGAGGACGCAGATCAGGCGCAGAGGACGGCCGCCAGTATGATGACAAAGTCGCTGTCCACCGGCGGGACGGGCGGTTGGGAGTCCCCGGCCGGTGCTGTTGTTGCTGCTGCCGGCACGGAATCGAGCAGCCTGAATGGACGAGCCATGTGGAGGAGCTGTAGAGAGAGAGAGTTAACTAAGGTGGAAGTTGTGACCTGGACAGCGACCTGGACGGTGGGTTATCTGGGATATGGAGGCAGTGGGTTATCGGGGAAGAAGATGGAAGAAAGGATTTTTTGGGTTTGATCGAAAGAGAAAGAAGGTGAGGGGATAAGGTGGGGATGGGTGGTCAAAAGTTATTGTTTTATTTTTTTCTTTATTATTCCATTTTGCAAAGAAAATTAAAAGAAAAATGAAATTATAATTTTTTGTGCTGACATGGCATTGACTTGGACAGTTGACTAACGGTCAACGGTGTTGACCGTCCAAACAAACGGTCAAACCACGCTCCAGGCCAATTCTGTCTGTATGCTGCATAGTTCGGGCCAAGATGTTAATTTCTCAAACCACTGGCCAAAGTTGATTACATGGTCATAGTTCAGGCCATAATAAGGTATTAACCCTTAATACAATTATTATTGACATTATACTCGAGTGCCATAAACGAAATTATAAACTGTGAATTCTCCGATTCAACTTCTCAACACAACAGGTGGTTTGTAGAGGTGACAATTTAATATCTCAATTCACTAAAACCATCTCCAATTATGATGCATAATTCCAAAGAGTCCAAAAAAAAGCAAATCAACAATAGTCTAAAAGGGCCAAATTCCACACGTTTGTTTTGTTGGCGACATTTTAATATCTAAAATTCATTCATTGATAAATTTATTTCTTGATGATACCTAAAAAAAATTGTTACATTTTAACATCTATAAATCTATCAATCCATTTATATCCAATTCATTTATATCCAATTCATTTATATCGGTTCGTCGTTGAACAATAATAAATGAACTTACGAGCGCCAATTGTTCTTACAAGGAGGAGCAACTTTTTTATTCCATTTAAACTCGATACAGAAAGAGCAGAACGCTGCTACTACAGAACTGAGCAACGCTGCCACATTACAACTTCACTACACTTCAAACCACCGCTCCTCTCCAACCCTCAAACAAACTACAAACAAAAACGAGCAGAAAAAACACAACAAAGATTGACATAACAGCACACCGGCCGGACTCTTGTATGGTCTCGTTAGCCGGTTTAAATCAGACTGCCACCTGTCCCGGAACCAGGGAGATGCCCAGTAGTGCCGGTGCCTCCGGTGCTGTAGTTCCCATGCCCGCCGGTGAGCCGCTCTCCTTGCTTCGCCGCCGCGTTCTGGGCTTTGGTGCCTTGCTTCATGGCCTCGGCTTCGGCTTTCCTCTCTTCTTTCTTCTCCCTCGCCATCTCCTTCTGCATCGGGTCGTGTGCCGAAGCCTTCTCCATCTGCCGGACGATACAGACGAGCCAATCAAAATTATGCCCACCATGTGTTCGACGAAATGCCGCAACAAAGAAAAAAATTGAACATACATAGAAAATAATCATACAATGTTAAGTAGTATTACCTTCTCCTGGACGCTGGCTTTGGTCTTCTCCATCCCCGCCTTGGCAGAGGCCCCAATATTGGATGCGGTTTCCTTGGCAGACTGCATTTTTTCTCCCCCTTCAAACTGTGTTCTGACCGACTTGGGATGATTTGATTTCTGTGTGTGTTTGATTTGGTTTTTGCTTTGCTGTGAGCTGTGATTGCTTAAACAAGCTCCATAACCTTCCTTTATATAGAGTGTATTTGGGTGAGTGTGTAGCGAAGGCTTCTGGCCTGCTGGGTTCGTGCCACGTGTCCTCGGTTTGGACAGGTGTCAGCAGGTTGAAGATTCCTTGAGTAGCTCTCCGCCACGTAGTATACGAGAGTGGATAAGGGAACTTATTTGTTCGTTGTTTATTGGATGGATCAACAGGGCTTCGTTGGGACTTGGGGGCGAGAGGGGGTAACGTGAGCAAGCCAGATGTGCGATTTGTGGCGATTCGATGGCGGATTGAGATCCGCGCGATTGGGAGATAAGTCTTCCAAGAAGGCATTCGTATGAGGAAGGATTTCATGTGCCCGCCAACCTATGCTCGTTAAACAGTTGTGCATTTCGCTCCCACAATACGAAACATAACAGTGTACACAATGCATTTTATAACTTCATCATCCTTGGCATATTCACAAATATCGAAACTCATATTCCTCATTACTTTGATACGTAATTTACTCAGCGAACTCCGAATATTCCCAAAAGCCAAGTTATCTACTCACACTCCCCAGAAAAATGTACTTGGGCCTCTTTAAGGTTACGGAAGGGGCATTTATCCCCTCATTTCCTAATCTTCAAGCTGATATGATCACCTGTGGGAAGCACATCTTTCATAAGACGCCACACAAAAGTGTAGGTCCCTAGTGATATTGGGAGGAAGAAGGGTTGAGACAATTGGAGGGACTTGAAATTGTGCAGGTCGTCGTAGTGGACAAAATCAACACAATCCGAGATCGCCTAAAAGTCACACAGAACAGACTATAAAAGTTATGCGGATGCGGATGCGCTTATCGAAGAGAAATAGAGTTCCAAATAGAGGATAAGTGTTCCTTAAAGTATCACCATGGAGTGGTATTCGTCGATTTCATAAGAAGGGTAAATTGAGTCATAGGTATATTGAACCATATGAAATCCTAGAGAAGATTGGTCTGGTAGCCTATAAACTAGACTTACCACATGATTTACCTCAAATGCATAATGTTTTTCATATGAGCCTTACCACAAGATTGACGAACCACCCATTCGTTCTCCAGAATGTCATCTCAACAATGACAGAGATTGACAGTGCACGAACAGCCTTGTAGATGGAGTTGATACTCTCACTTGAGCTCGTTGTGGCGATCCCCCACCTGGTACTCACAAACAACTAAAACAAAGTAAAGAAGAAAAAATCAATCGAAATTCTTCCGAGTTAAAAAAAATGAATGAAAATTTCTTGGTAAGAAGACGATATCTAGACCATGAATGAACATGAGGTTGGGTCATGATATTATACACTAGACCCTAATGAATAAATTGTACATCATAATTTTTATATACTATATCTCAAGATCTGTTTAATTAGAATAATTGATAGTTCTGATTGTTCAACATACATCAAACATACTAAATGCACTATTTTAGGGCTTAGATGTTAAAGTTCAGATAATTAGGACTTAGGGTTTACTCATTAAGAGTTAGGGTATAATACTATGCCGCGAAATCCAGTTACTTCATGGTCTAGATAGCATTTCCTCACTAAATCTATATGATACCCCTATAATATATATATGGCAAAGGCTAGCGTACGCCCGGGCGTACGTTAGACTACCTTACGCCCGTTGAGTTTTGCTATTTAGACAATGAATTAGCCGGAGTTTGGGGCATGATACTATACCATAACCCCTAATGGGTGAATCCCAGTCCGCAATTCGCTAACCCAAAGCATAATATTCATTTAATCTTGAAATGAAAATCAACGGTTCTGATTTGTCGAAATTATTATTGATTTTCATTTTAAGATTGAATGAATCTCATGATTTGGGTCAGAAAACTAGGGACTAGGGTTTTGTCTATTAGTGGTTAGGGTATAGTATCATGCCCAAAACTTCGGTTAATTCATGATCTAAATAGCAAAACTCAAACGGGCGTACGGTAGTCTAACGTACGCCCGGGCGTACGCTAGCCTGAACCTATATGGTGGCTTCTATCGTACCTTGGGTAAAATCAGAGGTACGACATACCTTGAGTAAGAAAATGTTATCTAGACATCGAATTAACCAGATTCTTAGACATGATACTATGCCCTTACCTTTGATGGGTGAACTCTAGGTCTTAGTTTTCTAAATCATAGAGCCTAACCCCTAAGATTGTGCATGTAATTTTTTGCAAATATTTCAACGAATCATGACCGTCGATTTTTTCCCCCCAATAAATTGATCTTCGTGTATGAGATTTATAGAACTAAGACATAGATTTTAATCTTTAAGGGTTTGAGAATAGTACCATATGCCAAACTCCGGTCAATTCAAGGTCGACGTATCATTTTCATACTTAAGGTACGACATACCTTGGATTTTACCTATATATATATATATATATGTGTGTGTGTGCGCGCGCGCGCGTGTGGAGATATATATATACACACACACACACGATATTCTAGGTATCGCTGGTGAGAAATCTCTATCTAGGCCAGAGATTAAACCAAATTTTGGTATGAAACTATACCATAATCTATATTGGATAAACTAGATATCCTCCTTCTTCAAACTCAAGTTCTAAGATTAATTTAATTAAATATAATAATTTATGTTTCATATTTGTCAAAGTACAACACAACATATCCAACGATCACGCCGAAACCCATGTATATCTTTGACCACCTCGACGAAACCCTTCCTGGAGTCTTTAAACACCACATTTATCCTGTACTCAACATTTTTCGGCAGTTTCCAGCGATACGTCGGTCGAGAACTCTGCTCTGATGTTGCATGTTGATAATCTAGGTATTCCAGAAGCCATCTTTCCGCTTTCCCCATTATTTCGAATTCTTCAAGCTTCTTCTTCTTCCACATCTAACTATAACGTTCTTCCTAGAGAAACCGGAGAGCTACAAGAAATTGGCCACTTTGTTCCTCAGTCGCGCAAATTCGTCATCCATTCTTTACAAGTTAGTCCCTTGCCTTGCTCAAACAGTAGGCTTAGATAACTAGGGTGTCAAACTCGCCTAATTAACCCAACCACACTTGTGGATAAGGTGATATTGGGTTTCCTGCTGGCCACATAAAGGGCATTCATCACATCCCTTCTTTGTTCTTGCTAAAACATCCGCTCATGTGGATAATATGTTTCGAATCCATCTCCAAGCGAAATAGTATATATTTTACCACATGTGAAATAACTCTTTGTTTTGGTTCGTCCAAACAGGATAATTTAACTTCCAATTTCTTCAAATAACACACAAATACCACATATAAAAACGTGAATTATTTGACCTCACAAATATCATATTGTTAGTTAATCCATCCAAACGACCCTAAGCAAAGATAGAGTTAAATATATTTCTACAATCTTGAGAAGAGATTCAATGTATATAAATAGCCAATTATGATTTTTTCCCCAGTAATTATGTGATTCATATTTTGATTATATAGTGAGTATTGTCATCTCTGGCGTTTGGATGGATTACCAGGACAAGATTTTGATTATATAGTGAGTATTGTCATCCCATAGACTCAAACTATATTAGTTTATATGTTAATTGGTTAATTACCAGGACAAGATTTGACTCTAACTACTAACAATGAAAGTCAAGTGACCCGTGCATTAAAGTATACTTTGATTTTGGATCTTGCTTAAAGCGCGATAATCAAATGATAAACTTGTAAAAGTTTCTCTTTGCCTTTTGTGTGTTTTTTGATGAACCTATTTTCATAGGCGGAGGACTTTGGGGAAGGCACGCATAATACTTTGCGAAATTGTTGATCCTTGCAAGTTTAGTGGTCGAATTAGTAAAAATGTTTTGCGTATATCACCAATATATAGTAGTGTAGGAGTAGTAGGCCAACAAAAATAGGTAGACGTTTTTTTATAAATTGCTCTAGTCTTTTATAGGGGTGTCAGTTCGGGTCGGGTTCCCGAACCGAAACCCCAAAAACTCAAAACTGAAATCCGAACCCAATAAGGATTTTCGGTTTTGGGTTACCCAAAACCCGAAAATTCCTTATCGGGTTCGGTTAAAGCAAAATCGAAATCCAAAAACCCGAATGTCTAAGAATACGGGCTGAGTTCTATTTATTGGAGGTTTTAAACCGGAACTTGAAAAACCGATAAGTAAAACCGAACCCAAAACCCGAAACAAACCCGAAAAACCAAAAATATATCTAATCGGGTCGATTTCGGGTAAACCCGAAAAACGAACCCAAATGGACACCCCCTAGTCTTTTGCAAGAGATTTATTTCTTGGGGTTTTGTCAAATATTTTTAGTATTTGAGATCAACCGGTGTTTTTATGTAGTATCATATATGATATCAATATTGGGTGCGTGTAGAGTGAATAGAAATGGAGAGAAGTGAGATTTTAACTCATTTGTATCATATATAATATATTCATGAAATGTGGAAGTGGTAGTGGGTATTTAAGCAAAAAACTAATTAAACTAGTAAAATGAGCAAAAGGTTATGAGCCTTCGCGTCGTTGTGGGCTCTCCGCCTGAACCAAACTAGATTTGCTTTGTTTATAATTGATTAGAATCGATTGGTTTCTAGACCAATCGAAACCGAATTGTGGCAGTGCTTGGGCCAATAGTCAGCAGCCAAATCGAAGCATTATTTGGGTCAATGGTCCAACCATGATATTGCTTGAATGCAACTAATCGGTTCGAGTCCAACTAGCAGTGGAACCAAAGGCAGATTGCTTGGCCAGCAAACTGTCCAAACCAGCCCTGCGGTCGCCAGAAATACACAATCATTGCTTTTTTTGTTTTCTGCACTGATATTTCACGTCTTTGCTGCAAAATTGCTTTTCCATTATTTTCTCTCTTCCAAAATCAAACAAAGTCGGAGTAGAGTGCCCTTCTTATTGAGTTCGTCTGATTTATGAGATTTGAAGTAATGTACGTCGGATTCCATCTTGAGAAGAATTATTTCATATCCTTTGAGTACTAAGAGTGGAATAAAATTTC